TTATCCGATTTTGATGAAATTTGGTTTGAAGGTGTAAGGCGGGATACACTTGAATAAGTTCGCGATCCAGCATGATCGGACCATGGGAACAGGGTTTTATGGGGGGTTTTATGGAGTAAAAATTGGTTTTTCTCACTTTTGAACCTCAAAACACAAAATTTCCCAATTTTTTTCTAAACCTTCTTAAATAGCTTAAAAAAACAATTAATTCAGTATATCAAAGTGTTTTTGTACGGTTATTGGTTACGGAGAAAACTAAAAAAATTGTAAATTTAAAATTCCCATGTTATTCTTATGGAGAATATTGTAAAATGTTGTAGTTTGCTTGTTTATGGATATCTTTTGATCAAACTTGGCAAATATATTAATTTTCTACTAAGCAATAATTATTTTACTTAAAACACACACTTTATTAGTTTCCTTGTAGCAGCAAACCTAGGTACTCGTTAAACCTAATGTTATTGAAATAGATCCATTGAAAATAAATTCAGCCAAATGGAAATTCGCTTAGACGGCAGGTTTGCTGCGGCGGGGGTATTAAAATTTTTCTTGTTATTTTAGGAATTTAAAACCTTGTTTAACCAAATAAAACAATCTAATAATAAACAATAACAACTGGTCTCCTAGTTATATAACCAAACAGAAAAAGCACAAATCGTGAAAATAACCCGAAAATAATCAAAACTTCATCGACACTAGCAATCAGTGTCACCAGACATGAACTAGACGCGAAAAAACATGCTTGAAGATTTACAATGGGATGAGAACTCTACTTGTGATGGTTAGTCTAGAGTCTAGGGTTTAACCTAGTTGTTGCAAATTGAGTTATTTTTTTATAGGAACTACCCTTCAAGAATAGTTTTCATTAGAAATCTTGATTGTGTCGTTGTCTTTGTTTTTTTTTTATTAATAGATGTTTTATTTTTTCTTCTTCAAACAATTAAAATAATTTGATAAAAAAATGAAAATGTTATTAATTATTGTAAATTTCTTGTGATTCAACCCATGTCCTAACCTCACTAGTCTCGTACAAGATGAGGAGGTTTCTAGCCGGTAGTCCAAAGGACACTTAGCTCACAGGAACCCGGTACACTGAGAGGACATCGAGCCTCTCGGTGCACTTAAATATTACACACTCACAAACATTAGAATCTACCAAATCTACACGAAACGATGCTTTTAACACAAGTAAAACACACAATGCGTTTAACAGTATGGCTGCAGTTGACTTGATTTGTGGCGGTAATTAAAGCCATTAAGAGAGACCGGAGAGTAAATATTATGTTTATGGCTCGTAACATTCATGTTAATCTCTAAAACAAACAATAACACTTCTGCTGCACATAAAACTACTCTTGATCCCCAGGAATGTCAAATTATAGTGTGTTTAGGTAACTGTCCCACCGTGGGGTTGCACTAATTTGAATTCATGAAAATGTCAAAAATGAAAAAAATGTTAATATTCTATGTTGTATATGTTCTAGATAAAAATATATAATCAGGCATTCTATAGAATGGCTAGGCATTCGAAACAATGCCTGAAATGAACCTGGAAAAGTTTGAAATATAGCTTATTATAACCTTTAACCTAGTCATTCTTAAGAATGTCTGTTGAAAATGTAGGCAAAGTATAATATACGCTGTTGTAGGACTTTTTTCAAAGTTTTGTATCATTGTTTGGCATTTATATATCGAACCTAAAATAAACTAAAACAAACCAACCTAACCCAACATATAGACAACAGTTTATTATTCTAAAAGATTTTTTAGTTTTTTTATTCCTTTTTTGGCATTATACAACCTAATCTAAATTAACTAAAATAAACAAACCTAGCCAGAACATACACCAAATCATGTTTTTTTATTATTTTTTGTCCTAGGACGCTAGGCACGAGCCTGGGATTGCTTTTTCACATTACTTTAGGCTAGACCTAGGGGTTGCGGCATTATCACTTGGATAAAATCCATTGGTGACTTGGCGGGGATCGAACCCGGGACCTCAGGGACTGAAGTCCCGCGCTCTAACCACTACGCCTGCTCGCTCCCCACACCAAATCATGTTAAATAAATGGTATTTTTGAACGACACACATACATGGGCATCCTGTAGAAAGCCTAGGCATTACACCCAATGCCTAGTCAAAGTGTATACAAATAAATATAAAACCCTATCGTTATTATTCTATTTCATACTTTGACTAAACGCTTCAGGCATTATATACTTTTCCTAACATATGTTGTGAAATCTTGTGTTAACACAGCTACATCATTGATTAAAGCATTAAATGTGTGTTTGGGAGAATTAGCATCCATCGCACAGCAGTATTCAACCCTATATCGTTTCAAAAGTGATTGTTTTAAATTATTATACGTTCCTACATTTTAGCTAAAGATTTCCATTGTGACCGATATGCTATAAGTGCTAAAGCGCCACTAATATGCTAACATGATGTACTGTAATTTTCTACATATCAATCACGTCTCTCTTGTCACATTCCCTGATCCCATCTTCTCCTACAAATCATCCTTAATTGAGTTTTAATACCCACCCTATCTGAACAAGGTAAACTCCTTTATCCATAACGAGGTGTTTGCTCTAAAATACTGTAAATCTTAAACCACATGATCAACATTGGTTTGACATGAGCTGCCATTAGGCAACTAGTGAAAAGTTTGTTTTATTGAGACATGCTTCTAATATCGGAGCATCTACTGGTCTTTTTATTTGTTCTAAATGTATTTCGTTACGTAAACTAATGATTACAATAAGTTTTGTATTTATTGCATAAACTCAGTGTATTTTGTTAATAGAAAATTAGCAAGTTTCATTCAATACCTAAACAAACAATCTTTAAGTACCATAAATAATAAATATAGGTTGTGTTTTATTGGTGCGATTTAGAAAATAAATCCAAACAATAAAACAAATTCGTATAGCCCTGACAATGCATTCATTTTTACAATATTGTTGTATCAATAAGGCCTCCTATTTAAACATTAAGGAACGAATTGGTCTAGTGGTAAAAGCGCGGGACTTCTGTCCCTGAGGCCCTGGGTTCAAATCCCGCCAAATCACCAATGTATTTTATCTAAGTGATAATGCCGCAACTCCTAGGTCTAGCCTGAAGTAATGTGGAAAATATCCCCGGGTTAGTGCCTAGCGAATTAGGGAAAAAATTTAAACATAATTTAGGGCACAAAGAGCCAAGGAGAGCTCTGTGCGGTAAGCTGAATTTTTATTTCAGGATTAGTGTTGCCTACAGTATTATTTTGAGGCTTCTGATTGGCTAAGGGAACATCATTACCGCGACGATACGGTTGTTGCCAACGGCCTCAGTGGTGTAGTGGAAGAGTGCTGGGCTGATGATCCGAAGAACCCGGGTTCGAATCTCACCCGTAGCACTAGTTGTTTATAATTTGATTTTTTTCATTATCAACAAGTTTGGTTGGTTTGGTTAGGTTATGACGGTTTAATTTTATAATTAAACCATTATGAAATTGAATTTGACCCATTTATAGTTTTATTTTATAAACCGAAATATTTTTTTCGGTTGAACCTTCATTTGATTTTTCATTATTATAGCAAGTCTGGTTAGTTTGGTTAGGTTACTATAGTTTAATTTTATAATAAAAAAAATATAAAATAGGATTTGAGGCATTTATAATTTTATTTTATGAACAGAACTATTTTTTCGATTAATAAACCTTCATTAGATTTTTTCATTGTCAGCACGTTTGGTTGGTTTGGTTAGGTTATGACGGTTTAATTTCATAATAAAAAATATAAAATTGAATTTGAGGCATTTGTAATTTTATTCTATGAACAAAAATAATTTTTCACTTACTAAACCTTCATTATAGTCAATCAGAAGCCTCTAAATGACACTGTTGGCAAAATTAATCCTGAAAAACAAATTGTGCATCCGGTAAGCAGGTGCCTGCGTGCGGGCTTGGAAATCGGCAGCCACTATGACCACTTCCATTTGAATGGCAAGTGCCATTCCTGCCGCCGAAAATATGAATTTGAATCGGCGTGCACTCTGGACGTACCGTTTATAGAAAACACAGTCTAGAAGTCAAATTTTCAAAAAATAGTTACCAACAGAGACATTCGACTCACATACATCGGGTCGTAAAAGTGACTCACCTACATGCTAGTGGCTCCCATTGTATACACACTGTGGCCCACACAGATAGACTCTGGACACTCTAGTTATTGTTGTATGTTACAGGATGATGACGAGGATGGCAATGAGCCACTGGACATGTCTTGGCCAGACACGGGGCGTAAAAGACTTACCTACATGCTAGTGGCTCCCATTGTATACACACTGTGGCTCACACAGCTAGACACCAGGACACTCTAGTGATTGTTGTATGTTACAGGATGATGACGAGGATGGCAATGAGCCACTGGACATGTCTTGGCCAGACACGGGGCGTAAAAGACTCACCTACATGCTGGTGGCTCCCATTGTATACACACTGTGGCTCACACAGCTAGACACCAGGACACTCTAGTGATTGTTGTATGTTACAGGATGATGACGAGGATGGCAATGAGCCACTGGACATGTCTTGGCCAGACACGGGCCGTAAGAGACTCACCTACATGCTAGTGGCTCCCATTGTATACACACTGTGGCTCACACAGCTAGACACCAGGACACTCTAGTGATTGTTGTATGTTACAGGATGATGACGAGGATGGCAATGAGCCACTGGACATGTCTTGGCCAGACACGGGGCGTAAAAGACTCACCTACATGCTGGTGGCTCCCATTGTATACACACTGTGGCTCACACAGCTAGACACCAGGACACTCTAGTGATTGTTGTATGTTACAGGATGATGACGAGGATGGCAATGAGCCACTGGACATGTCTTGGCCAGACACGGGGCGTAAAAGACTCACCTACATGCTGGTGGCTCCCATTGTATACACACTGTGGCTCACACAGATAGACTCAAGACACTATAGTGATTGTTGTATGTTACAGGATGATGACGAGGATGGCAATGAGCCACTGGACATGTCTTGGCCAGACACGGGGCGTAAAAGACTCACCTACATGCTAGTGGCTCCCATTATATTCCCTCTGTGGCTCACGCTGCCAGACACAAGGACACCTAAGGGTAAGTTTACCCTTGATAACTTTCTGTGCTACATAGTTTGAGTGCTGTTTATAGGTTTTAATGAATAATTGCTGTCAATAATGGGTCCCACCAGAAGAGAAGCAGGGTCATGGTACCCTCTGGAGCGGAAAAGATAACAAAATTTGCTGTTAGTCTATATAATGTAGGAATATTCTCAGAGGAAATATGAGTGACCAAACTAGATTGTGTGTGCAACATAAAAAATAATACATTTGCCTCGTTTTTCAGTCCTTATGTTCAAAAGATTTTCAAGGGAGACTCACAAAGTTCTCTCTTTCCAAAAGTCCCCAATAACATGAAAGTGTGCAGGCCAGACTAGTTTTTTTTTTTCGGGTTGAGTTTTCATCATCGGGTTTATCGTCTGGATAAATGTTGACATTTAGGTCACTAGGCTAAAACCGTGTCGGGGAAAGATTGAATTTCTTTTAAAATGTCTAAATTTCTCAAATATAAATCGTTGTGAACTACTACAGGTTTATAGTTACACTAGTTGTACATTACCTCCTGAGGTCAAGGCAAATTCGCAAACAGCTCCTATGTTCGCAGTGAAATAGTGAGCAGCAGCTGCAATCCCTGTGAAATCGAGAATCTCTTCTTCAAACACGGTGGGGTCATGAACATCTTCTGCGGTCGTGGAGTCATAATCACCTTCTTCCGTGATCGCAACGAAATATTAGTGAACGTCTGCTGTGGGCGTGGAGAAATTTTAAGTGTCCCATGCGGTTCTAGTGAAATTGTCATCATCTCTTTCAATCGCAACAGAATTGTGAACATTCCTATGAACGCGATGAAATGGTTATAATCTTCGTCGTTCGTGGGGAATACATCCTTGCCTCCCACAATCGTAAGGGGATAATGAATTTTCATTTCCGCAATCTTCATTGCAGACGTTATATTTAATTGGGAGGGCAAAAGCTCTGATCGAAAATAAAGCCATTGTCGAACTTCTAATCTAAATAAATCAACCCGAGCTTGCCTTAAAATTTTTTCAGGCCCAAATCGATCTCTTGAACCAGTTTTTGGCCTGGCGTGACCCGGGGACCTGCAAACCCCGGCTGTAGGTCGCCCCCTGCAAAAATCTCTGTCAGCACTCTTGCTGCCATTCGACATATTTGGCAACCATTTAAATTTATTTCATTGTTCAAGATTCCTCTTGGCAGTTTTAATGAATTTAAACATACGGTTACCACATGCAAGGATGCCAACATGGCGAAACAGGTACAGGTAACAGTTTACATACTTATATAAAGCCAGCGAAAACTTGATCAAATCCGGTTGTTATGCTTGAATTTTAATGATACCAATTCTCTCCTCAAGTTGCTTAAAACCATAAATCTCAACCTCAGCTGTTAGTCAGGTTTGGTTTATCCGAAACAAATTAGACTCGTTAAATTGCCTTTCTGATGAACCCACTCTTAGTCCCCTTCTCTTGTTTTACCAGTTTAAATTCATTTTCAGAAACTGATCTGTGGGCTAGGTGAATGTCTGACGTCTGGTATAAATAAAGTAGAAGCTAGAGTGTCTGGAAAATATTTTGTTTTATCATATTTTATTTTGACATTTGGTGTATTGTGCACTACCAAATGTATAAAACTCCTTGGAGGAATAAAAATTAAAGTGCAAAAGAGGTCAAGTATTGACTATTGATGATATTAAAATTAAATGTGTATGTCGGTGGAATCACTAGCCCTAGTTCCTTTAATCATTTTATCTCCATTTCACCATTTTGTTTATTTCTCAGTTATGTATTACATAAATTATGAATCCCGGGAATTTGCCAATGGTTGTAAGAGCGCAATTAATATACTCACATTGCCTGAATGTTTTTAGTTACATTTTTGATCTTGGTAGAGTTTTACTCAATTGATGAAATAATTTTATAGTTCTAGCAAGAGTCTAAACAAAAGGGAAGGTTGGTTGTAAAAGTATGAAACTAAGTTTTGAATTGTAAAGCAGGCGAATTGGAGATTAAAGTTAAATGTTCTTGTGGGAGTTATCGTTCTTTGCTTTACACTTTTCTCAAATAGCCTTCTGTAAGGAGTGAGGTTGTAGGAAATATAAAAAAATACAGTTCTTTTTTTGTAGATGGAATAGTATTAAAATTGATAACCGCTATTATTACCACACGCACACGTCGGTTTTCTGGTGGTTTAACTATTGTCAATTAATGTATAGGTAAAACACAAACCATAACAATGTAATATTCTGCATTTATATCATTTTTTAACTCAGTTTTACAGAAACTATTTCATTTTATTTTTGTGATTCAACCATCGTGTATAATAATATCCATAATAATTGTACTGATTTTGAGCTTCTTTACCTGTTAGTAAGATTCCTGTGTTTTAAGTCTACAGTAGAAGTCTTCCAGTGGTCGAAAACTCGACCAAAATATGTAGTGTACGGACTTGTATATTTGAACCCCACGCTTTAAATAAAACATGTGATTGGAATTTCTTCCATTTGTTTTGATTTTCTGTTTATATTTAGTTGTTATTTCGTCACCAGCATGGCAACCCATAAGGCCCATATTAAACTTTTTAAAATTGCTGTGCTTTTTTAGCCTATTTAAATTTATAAAGGGATTCCGAACATCTACAGGAAAATATCTTTCTAACAGTATGTATAGATTTTCCCTGCGATGCACACGAGCTGAGAATTTTTTTTAAAAAGAAACATGCTTGTCTATTAATATATAGACAATACTTAAACTCCCTCTTTAATTATTTTTTTTTTTAGGTCTAGTGGAGAAATGTTATGGAATTGTGGCTTACATTATATTACTTGTATTTCTTGATGGGCTCATAGTGTGCATTTCTGATTCTCAGAACTCTTTGTTCACGCATTGCACCTTTCGCGAAGCTGAGGCAGACAGCGTGTTCTTGGTTTAAAATTATGAATCAGAAAATTGTAATTTTTGAATTTTTTTCGAATTGACTATTGTTTATTTGAATTGGCCATCACTATTGTTTAGTGTCGTTTCTTTTTTTATGACTAAGAACATCAATGTGTATCAATAAGTATCTAGTTCAAGATGTGCATTAAACTACAATAGCTAGAAATTAGTCATCCAAGTTCTAAATGCTTGTTTAAAGCGCTCAATTAAAGGGAAACACAGTGTTAAGATTTTCCAAGACTCATAAGAAACATTAATTTAATCTAATTAACTATTTTTAAACAAATACAGATGCCATGATTTTTTCTGACTTTTATTTGGTTAACTTTTACTATGGTTGGTATCTAGTCGTGACTCATATTCTGTGAATAGCTCATTCAACAACACTGGCATGTTTCTTTGAATAAAAGAACGGTATCCCTAATCTGTGACATACTTTCTCCCATTAGCTTGGCAACAACCTTTGTCATGGGTAAACGGTGGGAGTAATTATTATAAGGAAAATTCCAAAAGATGCAACAACTTTTGAACTGTAATTATTTCAGCAATTGGGGTTGTATTTTTTTAATTAAGGACTATAACACATCCAAAATAAGATTTTTTTGCTTTTTAAGGGGTTTATGGAAAAATAACATAAGTTACAATACAACAGAAATTAAAGAAAGGAATAGAAACTTATAGACTGTAACTCATATTCTGTGAATAGCTCATTCAACAACACTGGCATGTTTCTTTGAATAAAAGAACGGTATCCCTAATCTGTGACATACTTTCTCCCATTAGCTTGGCAACAACTTTTTTCATGGGTAAACGGTGGGAATAACTAAGTAACTATTACAAGGAAAATGTCAAAAGATGCAATAACCTTTAAACCGTAATTATTTCAGCCATTGGGGTTGTATTTTTTTAATTAAGGACTATAACACATCCAAAATAAGATTTTTTGCTTTTTAAGGGGTTTATGGAAAATTACATAAGTTACAATACAACAGAAATTAAAGAAAGGAATAGAAACTTATAGACTGTAACTCTTATTCTGTGAATAGCTCATTCAACAACATGGCATGTTTGTTTTGAATAAAATGAACGGTATCACCCATCTGTGACATACCTTCTCCCATTAGCTTGGTAACAACCTTTGTCATGGGTAAGCGGTGGGAGTACTTATTATAAGGAAAATGCCATAAGATGCAATAACTTTTGAACTGTAATTATTTCAGCAATTGGGGTTGTATTTTTTTAATTAAGGACTATAACACATCCAAAATACGATTTTTTTTGTTTTTCAAGGGGTTTATGGAAAAATAACATAAGTTACAATACAACAGAAATTAAAGAAATTAATAGAAACTTATAGACTAAAACTCATATTCTGTGAATAGCTCATTCAACAACACTGGCATGTTTCTTTGAATAAAAGAACGGTATCCCTAATCTGTGACATACTTTCTCCCATTAGCTTGGCAACAGCCTTTGTCATGGGTAAACGGTGGGGATAACTAAGTAACTATTACAAGGAAAATGTCAAAAGATGCAATAACCGTAATTATTTCAGAAATTGAGGTTGCATTTTTTTAAATTGAACCGTAGTTTTTACGGAAATTGAATTTGTAAAATTTTGTTCTGAATTTAAGGTACTACATTATTACAACATACTACATTTTTATCAAAATCGTGAAAATAATTTTTTAATATAGTTGTATTAAAAAGTAAACCCTAGTATTTAACTTCATGCTATCCATAAATTAGGAAAAGCCAAAGTTCACGAACTGCTCTGCAAGTTATGTGTATGAAGGGTCTTACAGTAAGATACCCTCCACGTAAAGACTCAGGGGAAATAAACATTGGATCCATCCTTACACTCTGTAGATACATCTCTGGAAAATCCTTTAAGTCTCAGGATACTGAAGTAGCTGTTGGATCTACTCGTACAATAATCTGTAGGAATGTTCTGTTCGTATAGAACACTATAAGATAAATTTGCATGTTTTTGAATAAAGGTAGTCTCTTCGTCCAGTATAACCCTTAAAGGCAGTGATGTCTTTTTAGTTCATTTTACTGACATCAAAATTATAACATTACAATTAAACAATCTACTCGTTTTTGTAAATTACTGTTTTTCCTCTAGTATTATAGCCAAACCATAACGTAAGATTAACGTGAACAAAAGAGAGGTATATTCAGTCCTCATCAACAAACCAATAAGAATTATCATACATCTTACGAATACGAGTTTGCCTTTTGCGTCCAAAGTCAATATGAGAATGGTTTGTCCACATACTCAGAGTTATGGCTAAAGCTTCTTTCAGTCGATGGCGTCCTTATGACTGTTATTCGCCTTTGATGGATGAATGTAAATATTTAAGTTTTAGCGAATTGCCCATAAACGGAAATAAGCTATTACCCCAGACAATATAATACTTTAAGGTTTATTCCATTGTCTGTGCTATTACCTATTAAAGACCTGGACCCTGGACCTAATTACTTTTTTGTTTTGAGGTCCCCAGGGGCCAAAAACACAATCCATTCAAATTCATATACAGGGTTAGTAAAAAGTGTGGAGACCCCCTGTTATTTTTTTAACGGCCCATACTAGAAAAACTAAACTCGGCACACCATTATGGCATGTTATGAAGTACTTTTTGGGCATAACGGCCACTTGGTGTTCATCCCCAAAATGGGGGATTTTGGGGAAAACTCAAACATTTCAAATACAAAGACCCATCGAGTGACCCCCTCATTTTGAAGGTCATGGTAAAAGAAAACCAACAACGCAAACTAGAGGTCGCTATCTCAGTTCAGTACAAAATGGCAGCCAATTGAAATTCTCATAAGTTCTTAAACCCAAAATGGGGTATTTTGGGGGAAACTCAAAAATTTTAAATGATAAGCCCCATTGAGTGACCCCTCATTTTGAAGGTCATAATAAAAGAAAACTAACAACGCAAACTATAGGTCTCTATCTTAATACAGTAAAATATGGCAGCCAATTGAATATACAATTGCAAGTTATTTCCAATTTCAAAAGATTTCAATCAGCTTCCATTTTTTACTGGATTGAGATAGAAACCTCTAGTTTGCGTTGTTAGTTTTCTTTTACCAGGACCTTCAAAATGAGGGGTCACTTGATGGGGCTTATCATTTAAAACTTTTGAGTTTCCCCCAAAATCCCCCATTTTGGGTTTGGTAAGCAAGTGGCTATTAGGCTTAAAAAGTACTTCATAACTCGCCAAAGAGGTGTGTAGAGTTTAGTTTTCCTAGTGTGAGCCGCTACAAAATTTACAGGGGATTTCCAGACATGGAAAGCTGCAAGTTAAATTCAACTTCTGAGAATTTCAATTGGCTGCCATTTTTTACTGGATTGAGATAAAGACCTCTAGTTTGCGTTTTTGGTTTTCTTTTACGAGGACCTTCAAAATGAGGGGTAACTCGATAGGGCTTTGTGTTTGAGATTTTTGAGTTTTCCCCAAAATCCCCAATTTTGGGGATGTACACCAAAGGACGGTTATGCCCAAAAAGTACTTCATAACATGCCATAAAGGTGTGCCAAGTTTAGTTTTTCTAGTAAGGGCCGTTAAAAAAAATAACAGGGGGTCTCCACACTTTTTACTAACCCTGTATATACAAATTCCGTTAGTGTGATAACTTTATAAAAAATTATCGGATTTTGATTAAATTTGATGCAAATATGTAAACCTGAGTTTATTTGAACGAATTCCCGAACCAGCATGATCTAAACAAGAAAACCGAGTTTTTATGGGGTTAAAATGGAAATTTTCCAGTTTTCACCCTCAAAACAAAAGATTTTGCAAAGCTTCTAAACCATTTTTAAGAGCTTAAAAGGAAATCGCTTAGTATATTGAAGTGTAATTATGTATGTGTACGCTTAATGGTTAAAGACAAAATTTCAAAAAAATTATCTAAACTTTAAATTTCCATGATCATTGTGGACAATACTGTAGTTAAATTTTTTTAGTTAGCTTTTTTGTGATATATTTTGGTTAAATTTGGCAAATTTATTTATTTTCTACTGTAGGCCTACTATTAACATTTACTGAAAACCCCTAAGTACCCCTCGATCGTATTGTTATTTAAAGACGAGGGAATAAATGTGACATTTTTAAGGAAATATACAAGTGAAATTCAAATCAGACGAATTCGCGCTTAGTCTGCAGGTTTGCTGCGGTGCGGGTATTTGAAAGTTACTGTTACAGGCACATGTGATGTGCTTGGGAGCTTGGAAATCAGCTGATTTTACATGGGGACACTTGTAGCACTGTGACCATGAACAGGACCAATTTCTAAAAAAAAAACTCAAGGCTCAATTTCCCTAACACAAATCTACGAAAGGAATTCTTCACTTTAAAACATACATTCAGAGCTATGTTGTGTTAGAGAGCTGTGTTTTAACTAAATATATTATTTATTCAAATTCTCGGTATTTTTATCACAGATTAAAATTCCCAATTGTGTAGACTCTACTGTATGCAATTCGCAACACTGGATTGTTGTATACCAGTAATTATTTCTAGACTTTGAAGTACCCAACCAGAGCTTCTCTTTTTCTTCATTCTCCAAAATTCCTCCAATTCCCTCCTGTAGACAATTTGTTGTTACAACACATTCAGCAGAAAAACAATTCACATCATCGGTAATTGTTTCGATATTTTTTTCAGAATTTTACCAGCATATTTTAAAACATCAAAAATATTGCAAGATCCCAGAACATCGTTCTACTGTGTGGCCCCTCAAATCAAGCACTGTTGGACACATTTATGGGGCCGTACTTGTAAGGTAATTACGTTTGTATTATTTAAACAATAAAATAATTCAGTACTGTTGTGTTTCTAGGCAAGAAATGGTTTCCTATCACATTCCTCGGCAGCATCGCTTGGATCGCCGCCTACAGCTATTTGATGGTGTGGTGGGCCAATGTAGCTGGGGACACCATCCGTATACCACCTGAGGTCAGGCAAATAGCTAATAACAAAACGGCTTAACTGGCTTAACGCCTAATTATTCTGCACACTCTACTTTATAGATTTATAGATTGAATAAATTTTTAGATTTTTAGGTTTAAAGATTAAAACCTATGATCTATCGCAGTGGTGGTTCTAAGACATTGTCAAAGGGGGGGGGGAGTTTTTCTACTTCAGGAGGGTGGTATTGTCTTGGGGTGTTCTTCAATTTGCTATTTTTAAAGAAACTTGATGTATTTTAAGGTTATTTTTAACGTCATGAACTACGACCAAAAACCTCCGTAACGTTTTTATGACGAAAAGTGTGTTTAAAATTATATTTCCAGGGTCCAATAGGTGGATTTGCCCCCCCCCCCCCTTGGAACTGCCACCGTCTATATGGGTAGGTCTATATATGGTGGTTAGCGTTTTGATTTTGAAGGATATACTATTATTGCGCTATTTTAAATTGAAATTTATAGTGCCAGGTTAACCTACTTTGATGGAGCCAATAGTGTTAATGTTTGATAGATAAGAAAAAGATAATTTTATAAGTAAGCATCAAAACACATTATTCTAAGGTTTTATCAAAATTTTTAATTGTTTATGTTTAACACTTTGAGCTGTTAAGTCCACTAAAGGGACATAACTAAACTAGGCCTATTACTTAAAATATATCAAAGTGAGTATAACCATATTAGTCAATGAAATATCGATAACTCAACAAAAACTCCTGAAGGCTATACTTAAAATGTGCTTCAGTTAACAACTACGCTTGTGTGTTTGGTTGACCAATCTTATTAGTGCAAAGTATAGTGCTAGGTCTGATGTATGTCGAAGGCTTATCTTCAGCGAGGAGGCATTGCTGTGGATTGAAGTATGAATTCCTTGTCAATGAGGTATGGTGGACAACTCCAGGTGGAAGTGGATGATATCTTGATCATTGGGCTTTTAATAAGGCCCTGACTAATGAAACAGCTGAGTCAGTAACAAATCTATTACCACAATCCACTCCTCCTTTACTCATTTTTTGTTAAAATATGCACATACGTCGCGTCACCATCAACTCGTAATGATAGTGAATGGGATAATTCTTTGAGAAGTTGCACCTCAAATCAGGCATTTTACGGCCATTAATTTTACCTTTTACTTAAATGAGTGTATTTACTGCCATTGGCATCGTTCTGTAGAAGTCTAAATCCGTGCTGCTCTTTGATGACTGGTTGAAACATGTAAATGCATAAGTACGGTTGCCCAACATTTTGAAAACTTCTCTGAAACTTTAAGAGGAAAGCCACAGACATATTTTGCTGTCAGTTTTACTGTCAAGCCATAATGAAGGCCTTAAAGCTAAATTTGTTATATTAACACAGTCTATTGTTTGTAACAGATTCATGTTTTGTTGCTCGCAGGTTATGGGTCTGACGTTCCTTGCGGCCGGTACTTCCATCCCCGACCTCATCACCAGCGTGATTGTCGCCAGGAAGGGGTTTGGCGACATGGCAGTATCGTCTTCGGTTGGCAGCAATATCTTTGATGTCACAGTCGGGTGTGTAACTTTAGATTATGTATGGTATAACCTATTACATAGCAAGAAGTTTTCTTCAGCCTTGGTTAAGATTTTCAGTAATTTTGCTGACAACAAGTTCTTACACAAGAATTATTGTCGGGACCACATAAGTTTGCAGTTGAGGGAGGAGCCTATTTACCATATGGTTTTGAATGAACCAATGAGAACAGTGTGGTGTTGCCAAATCTAATAATAACAGCTGATTTGAAAATATTACTTTGTATATTTTAATTTGTGTTGTCATTGGCGATGTGGCAACGTCGCATTGGCCTTGTCTTGTGATTGGCTGCCACCAACTGCAAACTTACGTGGTCCCGACTTCTTGGATGGTAAGAGAGTTTTTTTAATGTTTTTAAGTTATGTGAATACAAACTCTGCTTCTGAGGATACCTCAATCGGCGAAATGTACATCGGGTTTAAGAATCTACAATCTTCAAGAAGCTGACAATCATAAAGTAAACCAAAATAACTAAACATTTGTTCTCAAAACAAGAAATACCACACAAATTTAACAATAATTTTGAAATTAAATACGTAAGATTATGAAGCTTGATTGTCAAATCCAATCAAATCAAATCAGTTTTATTTCCACAATATATACAAAATACCCCCGCCGCAGCAAACCTGCCGACTAAGCGAATTTCCATTTGTCTGAATTGATATTCAGTTAAATATATTTTAATAACATTAGGTTTAACGAGTACCTAGGTTTGCTGCTACAAGGAAACTAATAAAGTGTGTTTTTGAGTAAAATATTGATAGCTTAGTACAAAATAAATAAATTTGCCAAGTTTGATCAAAATATATCCATAAACAAGCAAACTACAACATTTGACAATATTCTCCATAAGAATAACATGTGAATTTTAAATTTAAGTTTTTTTTAATTTTCTCCGTTACTAATAATCGAACAAAAATACTTTTATATACTAAATTATTTGTTTTTTTAAGCTCTTTAAAAAGGTCTAAAGAGAAATCGGGAAATTTTGTGTTTTGAGGGTCAAAAGTGAGAAAAACCAATTTTTACCCCATAAAACCCCCCGTAAAGCCCCGTTCCCATGGTCCGATCGTGCTGGTTCGCGAACTCATTCAAGTTTATCCCGCTTTACACCTTTAAACCAAATTTCATCAAAATCGGACAAAAATTACTCAAGTTATCGCGTTCACGGACGTATATATATATATATATATATATATATATATATATATATACTAGCTGACCCGGCGAACTTCGTATCGCCTAAGTTATAGGTTTCCCCTAAGACAGACCGATGGAAAACCCGGCAGACGTTGTCTGTTGTCTTGCCTTTGACTATTTTTAATTTAAGTACCGTTACGTTTAATTTTCAAGATGATCTCGTTCGCATCGCTCAACCACGTCCTGGTTGAAGTTCGTTCGCTACGCTCACTCACCTTTAGGTTGGAGCTCGTTCGCTGCGCTCACTTGCCTTCAGGTTAGATGTTCGCATCGCTCAATCACGTCCTGGTTGAAGTTCGTTCGCTACGCTCACTCACCTTTGGGTTGGAGCTCGTTCGCTACGCTCACTCACCTTTAGGTTGGAGCTCGTTCGCTGCGCTCACTTGCCTTCAGGTTAGCTCGTTCGCTACGCTAACTCGCTTCCAGGTTGAAGTTCGTTCGCTACGCTCACTCACCTTTTGGTTGCAAATTAGCTGTTGTCATAAATGTAAAAGAAATAATAGTGCTGCACCCTGTTGGTAATCCTTGTAACTTTAATGCTATTGAACATCATAGAACAGAACCAACTTGTTTAATTGAAACAGCTGTTAAGATTCATTAATTCCATTTCTCATAAGGTTAACATGGGAAACTCCAGAGCCACTGGGGCGGAGCCCTTTTAAGAATTTCGAAACGGGAAATAGTTTACTTCCTATTCGCATACCTACAGAATTTACACACCAAATTTCATAACGATCGGTGAAGTCGTTCCGGAGGAGTTTGCAGACAAACACTGTGACACGAGAATTTTATATATTAGATAAGTCTATATATATATATATACATATATAAAAATTTGAACGAATGGTGTTTTTGGCCTCTGTGGACATCGAAATGAAAAAGTAAATTGGTCCCGGGTCTAGGTCTTACCGTGCCACCTACGGTAATAGCTACTTCCCTATAGGGAAATTCGCTAAAATAATAATTTTTCAAAAAATAAAATTCGAATATATATAGCCTTGAAGCATTATACGGTACATTGTTTACGTAAAATTCAAGTAAAATTAAATGTATAAAGTTATTAATAGTATTGGAATTTATAGTTGAGATTAATACATTTTGAACTATTATTTGCAAGTTACTTAGAATTCCAGATACTTATACAGTATGTTCAGTGATAACTTGTCTACAATAAATAAACTAGATTTGTTAAATTGGCAATTTTTTTATACTAAGCAATTAATATTGTACTATATTAAAATCTTTTTTATCCTCCCTGTGGCAGCAAACTCTTTAAACTCAAGCAAATTACCGTAGGGAATAAAGATGACAGTAAACATATTCACGAAGTATTTAAGTGAAAACCCAATCAGGCAAATGGTAATTCACTTAGCCTACGGGGTTGCTGTGGTGGGGGTATTAGGGATTATATCTTTTCTGCTACATAATCAGTTTTTTAGGGCTTCCAGCACCTTGGTTGTTGCTTTGATTAGTTTTTTGCAGATTTCCTGTGTTTTGGTTGATATATTTTTTGCAGGTTACTGGTACCTCAGTTGCTAAAATAAACGCATTTTGCAGGTTACCAGTACTTTTCAGATTACCAATTTCTTTGTTACTATTATGAATTGTGTTTTTTTAGGTTACCTAATTAGTATTACCTTTTGGCCGTTAATTGGTCTGTCTTTTGCAGGTTACCAGTGCCTTGGTTGCTGTATGGAATCATCTACGGCAAGCCAGTGGAGGTCAACAGTGTGGGAATGGTCTGTTCCATTGCCATTCTCTTCTTCATGCTACTGTTCGTGATCATGTCCATCGCTTGCTTCAACTGGAAGATGAACAAGAGCCTCGGGTTCACCATGTTTTTGCTCTACTTTGTGTTTGTGGCTGTCTCTCTACTGTTCGAGTACGGACATCTCACGTGTCCGGTGTAAACGTCATCGAACCGACCAATCCGAACGAGTGCACGCACAAATACATGGGAAATAACGCAACATTTTCGTTCTAATTTTATAGAGTTTTATTTATTTTTTAGAAATACATAGATGATATTGTTTGTAAGTTCACGTTGCAATGTTCTATTTTCACTAGTCAAATAATAATGATTGAGTAATTACTTACAAGGATACATAATTAGACAAATGAATCATTTTTGGGTTTTCATTACAATTAAAGGTCTAGAAATTTGTCAATATCTGAACAAATAAGAGATTGATTATTTGAAAGTATAAATCCTAAGCTATTCAGTTCAGCTTTTATATCTATCTCATCCATCCAGGTATCTGAGAAATTGAATAAACCAGATATATTTTTTTTTTATGAAAAACCTGATGCTGTTAAACCTCTTAGACAGATTTGGCACTTCTGAGGACGTCCCTCCAAAAACATTTGACTTTTAAAAGTAAATTAATAAAAACAACATTTTTGCATAAATTGCTGCACCAAGTAATTTTAATCATATATATTTTTTAGTACCAATACGTAGATTTTAAAATCCTAATGAAGATCAACTAAACAGATCCGTCAAAAATTTGTTTAAAATTTTCAGAAAAAAGAACATTGCAAAAATAATTTTATAATTGCATTGTAGCTTGGTTTATGTCTCGTAAACAGTACCTTTCCTAACATTCAAGTAAAAGTTGTTAACCATGTGGTCTAAAATAAGAGCCTAAATGCATTTGTTAACATTTTTCTAAGTTTGTTTTTAGTGTAATTGCATACGTTTACTAGAACTAGCTGTTTTGTAAATTCTGTACAGTGTTATAACGTAAGGTCTAACGCCAGATGGTGTAACTTCACCGGGTTTTGGATTGGCAAGGGTAATTCTCTCGCCTGAGCAATTATGTCCCTTTATTCGATTAAAAAAACAAAATTGTTGTCTTCACTCAACTAAATCAATTCCTTGTTTACACTTTTTTAAATGTCTACAAAAATATTTTTCAGAGCTTCAAACGTCTTGATTATTGTAAAACTGAATACGGCACGGTACTTTTTTATTTTGAATTTCTAAGCTCAACTTGTGATCACTATGAAAAGAAACTTCTCTCTTATTTCTTGCCGATCCTAAACACTCAGACTATGAAGATCAATCGCTCCTCGATATGAACAGTTAATTTGTATAAGCATCGACAATACCTACGTTAACAGTGTATAATACACCAAGTATCTTGGGGTCTTGAGCTAAGTCAAGTGATTTTGTAGGGTAGTGTGTTAAGTTTGACATTGGAAAAAGGATTTTATCATTGATTATTGTTGAGAGTATTGTTTTTAACTTTACTTGTTAATGCAGTTGAACTAAGTTAACATTAATGTTTCAAACAAACTAATCATTTTCACTGGAGGTTTGCTGCTGCACAGTTAAAATCTTCTGAAGTGTCCGTGGGAGAAAACGTCAAGATGACCGCAAGACAATGCAATATGCAATGTTTTGGCACAGAAAACAGTCTGTGATCTTGTCGTCATCTCTAAAAACTTTGACAAAAATATTCACTGTTCAGTAGCAAGTTGTCAGTTTTGTGGTAAAGCGTCCTAGAGAAAGGCACTCACTTGCAGCTCCAGACCGGTCCAGCTTCTCTGCATCCTTGGATCAGTATTCGCCTACAGCAATACTCGAGAAAGGCTACTTGTAGGCTGTGATCTCAGAGGATATCGCTGCTACTGTGTACTTCCATATCAATGTTGTTAAACTGTTAATATTGCTTTGTTTATTTTTACATATAGAGTGATCTAGTTAAGTGTATAGCGGGACTTGTCGCCAAGGCATAAGCAATAATATTTTGTTTCGAATCTCCGGCCGAACGTTCGCTTGAATCCATTTACCGGACAATATTCAGCGGCCGGTTTGTCAAAGTGGACGTTTTTTTATTTGCGGAATAGCTTAGATCGTAGGTGTTATAGGATAGGTATTTTATACTGCGACAATTACTATTTGTAAGTGTTACCGATTGAATATTTGTTCTGGTGGGTAGAAGACACTGTCAAGCGCGTTCAGAATCGGGGTAGAGTATGTTTTGTAAATTTTAACCTTTTATCTTATTTTTATAATTCTCAAATGGTTTATGAGCAAGAGTATATTTTTGTGTCGTTTTATTTCTTTCACTGTCAAATTTAAGGTCGATGAGAAAACACATACATTTTTCATCAAATTATAACATTTAATAGGAGTTCTCCTCTTGCTTTTTTTATCACAGCAACTTAAACCTAATCCAACAAACACATACCAAACTTGACTTGTAGTAATTGAGAATGAAAATACTAATTTGTCAGCCATATGGGATTAAAATAGTTACCAATATTCTCGCCAAATTATTCCACTTTTGCGATGTTTTACACCCTTTGGAAAATTATTTCATCAGGAAATTTGTTTTGAAGTATTTAATTTTAAGTAGGAAGGAGCGGCTGTTGGTTAAAAAATTACTGGAAAGGTTGACTGTGTCTTATACTTCGTTGGTGCTCTTGGTTGAGTGTTGTTATAGTTTAATGTGACATCCATGCACAAAATGTGTTATTGTTTCAATGGCTTTTGTTTTTAGTGTTAACCAACTTTAGGTGTCCAAATTGTTGTGGTTAGATAGAAGCCGATAAATAAAAGCCAAAATAGCTCACACAAAATGTACTGGAGTGGTGTTTCCCATTGGTATATTATTTTGTATCAATAAAGTGTAAAATTATTTTTTCAATCGGGGTTTCTCTGTAAATGTACCATATGCGTTTGTTTAAGAAATGCATTCAACAATAAGTTGAAATATGCTGTATTAGTATTATGATTATTTCTTAATTAATTATAATGGTAGGTATCTCATTAAATTTACTCAGTGAAATGTATTTCTATACAGTATTCAAATGGTAATGTATAATAAGTGTTAATCACTTGCTAAACAATTAAAAAATTTTAAGGTTACATCACAAAATTACCTTAGTTAAATCATTCTTATTCATAATTAAAATCGTATGTACCGTTTACGTCGAGTTCCAAATTTAACGCCTGAGTTCAAATGTTAACGTCTAATTTTATCAAAAACTAAAGCCTCTGCAGTATTTCATCTGGTGAGATATAACGCATTTTGTGCGAGCTTTCTAAACCGGCTTAATTCATAAATGCTAAAAGTGCCTAGAATTAATATTATTACCCGAGGTCTGTGTATGTTTTATTCTGCTTTTAGTGATAGTTTCGGCCACACATTTGTGATAGACCAGCTTTGCTGGCCCTGCGATGGGAAAGCGTTGTTCCGACATTGCAAGCTCTGGCAACCCCCCCCCCCCTCCCCCCCACAAATATGACAAATTGGTTGCTATGATGGAAGAAAGAGAGATTATGCATTTAAATTGAACAGTACTTGGCCCGTGGTAGTTGCGCTGCATACAAACGCACAAAAAAAAAGTCGCAGTTACTCTTAAAATCAGCAAATCTTGTTTTACTCTTTCGTTAAAGACTCTGACACTTTTAGACTGAACGAATCACCTTTGTGGGAAATAAAATGTCCACTCAACTTTTTCATTGTTTATAGAACCAATTCCGAGCGAATTCATACAATTTTGAAGGGTATGGACTACTTTCCCTTGTAAGCATTTGTGTTTCCTGTATTGAAAGTCACTGACTTACATTACCAAAACGTCAGGGCTACGCATAAAATAAATTTAGTTTATTTAAGATTTTTTATTTTTACGAGCTACAAAATGTCGGATCAACGCATCACCCTACCCTGCACTTGGCACTGTATATACTAGATTACTGTACACTCTATGTGCAGAGAGCAGTTTTACAACTAAATTGATTGAAAACTATTTATATATGAGTGAGTTTAAAGATCATTTAGAACACTAAACTCCTGTTTGATTCAGAGTCAGTTAAAAGTGATTGAAAAAGATTGCCATCTGTATATGGAGTTTGCAGTATTTCTTCACTTTTCATTCATTCATTCATCGCAATAGCAATTTCACTACAATGTCTTCTTTTGGATCAAAATTGTAATGATCCTTGAACCTTACCATTTTATATTGGAACTTTTTTATTGCACAAAACTTATTATGTGGTTTGAGTGAAATTCAATAAATTAAAGAAAATTGTTGTGTTTAAAGTTTAATCCAGAAAAAACTGAATTATATGAGTATGTCTACTTATAAAAAAATATTTAAAACACATAAAGTCTAAATGGTTTTATCAAAACTTTTCTACAGTTAGTTTTCAAACAAAAGACTGTAGGCGACTTTATGTTTTTAACTTAATTTGTAGGCTTTTTTAACTATCTAAACACGAAGAGATAAAATTTATTTATTTATTCATTTTCTAGAGAAGAGTAAAAATATATGTATAAAATTTAGCAATGTTTCAATAACTGTGGGGCCTAAGGACAATGAGATGTTAGTTGTGGTGTGATTGTATACTATAAACACCTAAGTTTATGAAAAGATGGATGATTTTTTATAAATCATTTATACAATAAATTTGAGGGTTCAATTCTCATAAATCTTTATAGTCTACTTGTGTTCACACAAAACCCCGGAGCTGGACCAAAAGTAGGCATTGTAAGTCTTCCATGCCCAAACCTTACATATCATCTTCATTTGATTATTTAAAAGAATAACACGATACATCTCTTCTCAGCATGTTTTAACTTACGAGTTTTCCCAATATAGACTCCAGTGGTACAACGTGTTTATATACTTAGATCGAGCCTAACCTTATGGTCTATGGTTTTTTACTGCATGTCAGTCTTTCTACCTTAATGTTAACTCTGCTGACGACTTATAGTCTTAGATCTGTTGTTACGATTTTTTAAAACTATAGTATAAGATAGTGATTCAAAAGGAAATAAAAAGCTTTGTTCATCTTTGCCACGGAATTGCAGACCAGTGAGCGTAAAGTATTTTCAAGGGGTTACACCTAGCTTAAAAAAACTTGCGTATCGTGAAGTTTTTAGCCGTTGGAAGAAAAGTGGCTTTATTTTAAATTGATTTTGTTTGGAAATGGGAGTTGTTCAGCTAGCGTTGCAGATTAAATTGCAGTCCAGGGTCTTAAAATATAGAGACACATTAAAAAATGTAATAATGACTATGATATTTTGTCCTAGAAGAAGGTCGTAACCAGTAGATTCGATGAGTACCGTATAGGAGTAGATACATGAATCTACTTTGAAGAATGTTTATACTATACTGGTAAAGAAGAGGCTTATTTACCTTGATTCCGTCTAGTGACCCACGACACCTCCTCTATGGGTGGATGGAGATCGTTTCGGTGAATGTGTCGCCTTGTTCGAATCCTTGTCACGAAGATCAATCTTCACTCATGTTTAGGTTATCAAAACATTTACCACGCATACACGAACATTTAAACAAGATATACAAATTAATAATAAATAAACCTCTTATTTGTATGTTTAAGTGATTCTAGACCACACAAAAATTGAATTGTATACTGGGATGAAATATTACCTAACGTTATCGTTTTGTGTATTTTTGTGTATTTATGCCACCGAATTGATTAAATTTTCTCAGCTAAACTAGCAGAACACTACACCTTTCCAAAAGAAAATCCTTAACCATTATGTTTGTTATTGACTATTGACTATGGGTTATCAACGTTTTCTCTAGGGTTCTTTTCATTCATGTTGAGTACAAAAATGTAAGAATAATTTCTGGGTTTGCCTGCAGGCCGGGCGCCTTCCGGCCGGCCTAGGGTATACCGGAGCGTGTGTGGCCTGCTTTAAATAGCTTCTGTCACCATTCAAATTTAAGTACAAATCATAATTTACTGCAGACAAAGAAATTTACAAACTATTAAAAATATTAATGGATTGGATAATAGAAAAGCCAAAAATAACAGAGAGGATCTTAAACATTTATGATTTCCAACTTTCCACTATGATTTGCATTCAACATGTTTTAAACTTTACATTTTACTGCCAATAAATTAACTATAGTAGTAATAATAATTAAAAAAGATATTTTGGTGGAGTTATTACTTACAGTTTTTAAAAACAATTTTAGGACCGGTAAATCATAACGTAAAAGATAACGCATAAACCAAACAAAACTCAATGATTTGAACTAGAATTTTCATATTTCATTGCTTTTTGATATAAATCTTTTAAATTAGAGAGAATCTGTACAATTAACTCATGAAAGTAATAGCTCGATTAAGCAATATAATTTTGACCAATTAATTTTTATTGAGAGTAAAATTTGTAGGAAGGTTTTGAGTTTGTAAATATCAATATTGAATAGTAATGGAGTAGTTTGATTTTCTGGTTTTAAAATGTATAAAAGTAAAAAATGTATAATTTCTAGTAATATTTTGTAGTCCTGTTAAAACTATGACAATTAGAGAGAAATGAGAGTTTAGTTAAAAAAACAATTTTTATTAGCATTTTTATTTTACGGTACATTTAGGTTTGATCTGTTATCAATGTGGTTTTATTTATTTGTTTCATTTGATATGTTTACTATACGGTTGACGACCTTAGTATTGATTTTCAAGTTAGTGTGCACACTTGTTTCAAATAAGTTCTTTCCTTTCAAAATCTATTCCAAATTTGAGACGGGCTTAAATTTCTGCAGAAAAAAACAATCGGTATACTCAGGATAAAGTTTTGAAAAAATCAATATCTTCTGACCCATTTGTTTCTTATACATTTCAATTCACTTTGCCACACTAAACGAAAACGTGACCAAATACCCCGTAGTTAGTTACGAGTAGACATCCAAGCAATAGGGTTTTGTAAATGTTACCAAGACGTGTAGATCATAGCTGATGTACAAAAGTTTCTTTTTAGTGTTTGATTTTGCCACAAAGCCCTCTAGCATTGAATTGACTTGATTCCTAAACGTAGAGATTACGTTTACCACGTTAGTTTACCCCCTCCACTTGCTCAATTGCATCACAGGCCCACGATGACCAAGGCTTTTTGCTTAGTCGTTCTCTACCGTTATAGCACTCTTAAGCTACGATAATATACAACTTTAAATAATAGCTATATACTATGTCGAGTAGACTCTTGTACTTAGACTACTATAAATATTTAGACTTATCGAGTACTTGTTAATATATCTATTATATACATAGTGACTATTTTTAAAATTCAATCTATTATCGGTTGATTGTGATATGCTTTATGCTTGTTACTCTCGTAGGATAAAGTTTATCTTTATTGGAACGCTCGGTTGTGTGTTGAGTGTTTTGTGTATTGTTAACTAATGTTTTCCTACTCTTCTCGTCGGCGATTCTTTTAAATAATGTTTCCAGTTTGATTTCTTTAGCGTCTTAGAATGTGATAACTTGAAACAAATTTCGTTCACCTCGACAGTCGAGAACGGAGATTTACAGAGTGCAAGTTCAACAGTCCCGGTAGCTAGATTTTTATCACAGGAAGTCTCCGTTCTAGACTTTAAAATTTCTCTGAGAATAAAATTTTACTAGAAGTCCACTGTTATAAAACCGCATATAAATATATATATTTAAATATGAAGGCATTTTAAAACTTAAGAAAATAATCTAAGCTTTATAGCGAAATGATATGGTTTGCGTTATGTAAAATATGTAGATAGTAATTTTACAGTGTTATTACTATAATGTAAGTTAACCCCCGTCATTAAGGTTATGTGTACCTACACCACAGATTATCAATTTATTAAACCAGTTCCTGAAACTTATGTTTTAAAGTGTTAAGCAAGGATAAAATGAGAAACTGAGTTTATTTGATTACTGCAATTATACCTCTTAAAATTGAATAGGTTATCTATTAGTTAAATCAATTATACACATTATTTACAAGCTGTAGTAAGTATATTGATCATAAATACTAAACTATACTTCTCAAGAATTAGACCCAGCTACGGCTGTGTGTATCATGAAAAATATTTGCAATACTATTAATTTTGGTGAACAGTGAACACTTGTTATCAAACAACTCCATCCAAAAACTGTCAACTGTCTGCCCTTGCTTGCTCACTGACTAAAAGAAAGAGCCTGTTATTAAAAAAGAGTATTTTGTAGCCTACAACAAATATTTAAAGAGAAAGACAGTGACAAAAGCAATGGAAGTTTGATCAAGTTACTTCAATCTTGTAATTGAGAAGGAAAAAGTTTGGGTTAGTAAGAAAAGAAAATGTTAAGTATCAGTTTGCAAGTGTTTTTCATATGAAATACACATGAAGAATTTACCTATCTAAAATCGAAAGGGATTTCCACCAGCTGTCATGTGTTGGATTAGACAAAAATGAGGAAACTTATAAAGAACGTGATTCTACTAAAACTATCAAACCTTTAAAATTATAGTCTATACATTTAATTCTTCAATTTAAAAATGACTTCGTTAACTAATACCTACCCTGCATACAACCAACTTCCTAAACCCATTGATTTATTTAAATTTATTTTCCTCAGGTTGATTTTTTTGTATATGAAATACTTGTGTGAGGAGGTTTTTATTTATAATCTATGTTTTAACCATCTATGTTACTCCAGAACAGCAGTTCTCAACCCCAATAGCAGCTCTTGACTGAGAACCAGTTTATGTTAGAAATGCTACACGCTGAGGATTATTTTGTGGCATTATTGAACACTAACATATTATGTGGTTAGCCCCATCTCCTTGTTTATTTTATTTTTATATTGTGACAATATTTTAGCTATTCAGACCTGATAATAAAAGCATTAAAGAAGAAAATTCAAGCCTTATTTCCCGCCTCTCTTAAGAATTGTAATTGTCTGCCACTTGCATTACAATTTATTTTAGTGATACAGTAATTCTAGTGTTAAAATACCCTGCTGCATCAAACCTGCAGGCTGATTAATATATTTCCCTATACGAATGTTTATTCCCTATTTACATTTGATTAAACAAGTACTTATTAGGTTTTCTGCTATAAGATGGGAAAACTTGTTAAAATGTTGAAAACATACAGTAATAACATGATGTACATAAAGTGCATTCAAAACAAATAGATGCAAATTTTAACGAATAGTGTTTTTGGCCTCTGGGGACATTAAAATGATGGGTTAATCAGTCCCGTGTCTAGGTATTTTTGTACAACCTAAGTTAAAAGCATTTTATTTACAGGGTAATTCACTAAATACAGTAGAGAACAGTGTACTTGCATTAATTTGCACTTTCTCTGCCCAAAGATTATGACTGTACCTATTCCATCAGTGGTCGTTTCCAAATCAGGACCACATC